TTCTATTCACCTGTCTAGCTCCACCCAGTTTCTCTTTACCGTTCATCTATGCAACCTGCTCCAGTCTCTATTTAACCTGCCTGTTCCCAGTCATCAGATAATTTGAGCCTTTGACGAGAGTTCTCTAACATACCCGATTTTGTTTTGATTGCCTGATCCTGATCCGCTCTGATTTTGTACCTTTGAGCCTGCCCGTTCCTGTTCTGATCTGTTTGCCTGACCTGTCTTCGGACTCCTGCTGGATTTTGTCAGTTGATGATCCTGGATCTGCTTCCTGCTTCCCTTTGATGCCTCTTCATATCTCTGATCCTTTGGCTTGGACTCCTGTGAACCCCTTTAACACTGGCTTTGGCTTCGCCCTTTGGATTGTCCTGCCTTCCTTCGTCTGCTTTGATCTGATCTCCTGCCAGTTCTGCAATTTCAAGGTTTCAGCATCTGGAACCCTCTGGCCAGCGTTCGCTGTGCTGTGTTGGCAGCCATTCGGCTGGAATACACCTCTTCCTCTGATGACGGACTGAACTTTAAGAGCAGAGGTTCCTGCCTTTGACATCCTTGCAGTTACTGCAGATCCACCGTTTTTTTTAATAAACGCCTTTTTGAGAAATCTGTCTGCCTGCCTTGATTACTGGGTCGTCTGTTCTGAGCGCTGGCAGTTTCTATATCTATCATTCAGCCTTTGTCGATCCTATTAACACGCAAAGGCATGTTTCTGTTTATGCATGTTTAACATTTGTGACTATGAGTATTCTCTGTCTTTCTTGCAAGTGTCAAATAAGTTTGATGAAACATGTTTCATTATGTATAATAATGCTTTACTTACAAGTTTCAACCAAGGTACTGTATATACTAACCGGCTAAAATTAGTAAATATCTTTGCTGTATGGGATGACTTAAACTCTCATCCCTCCATTAAGTCCATTAACCAGTCTGCTGATTAATGGACTTTTATATAAGTATTACCAGAAGTTAAAGTGTGCATTAGAGCTTTAAAGGAAAGCTCAAACACGTATTATTATTATTTCAGGGTGTGATGTTGGTGTTCAGGGACGATTTGAAACCAAGTTTGCCAAGTGTATGTTAGCTCACTGCCCAGCAGAAGCAGTAATCCCCGCCTCCTGGGAATCCCACAGATCAAGCAGCGACCACAGCTTTTAGGTTACATGTCTTTTCCCCTCTTGTCCCCTGGCTCCTCTCCATCCTCGTTCTTTCTGCGGATACCAACAGGCCCCTGGCCCTCTGCCCTGTCCCACACGGTGGTGAACGATGTGTGTCAAATTTCTCAGAATGTGTTTGGGTGCTGTCACGCCAACTTTGCAGCACATTAATCATAGAGTGAATGTGGCTAGAGATGCTATGAATCCTTGCTGGTGTTAATGTATTATTAAAAGAGTAAAAAATAATCCGCAGGAGGGAACTACATTTGGTAAATGTGAAAAATTCAGAAGCCGTTAAAGAGACAAAGATGTTTAGTGAAGAAGTTGTGGTTATTGTTGAGCTTTGAGGGAAGAGGCAGTCGACTGTTAGAGCAGGAAGAACATTTCTGCTTCAGTAAATATAGTGTTTCCACTCATTATATTGGTATAAAAACTAATTTAAATCTCAATGAATTAAGCGAATAAAAGTGGTAGAATAATGGCAAAAACCTAAAACAAAATCTTTTTTCTTAACCTGAATTAAATCACAAACTTGTATTTTTCATGAACTTAGCAGCTGAAATAATAAACTTTTATTTGATATTTTGATTGATTAAAATTCACCTGTTTGTATTTCACGTCTGAAGAATTTTACTATATATATTCTTTTTTAAGAATCATAAAAAATGTACTTATGGTCGTTATTTACAATGTGCAATGAAAAACTGTTAGCCATTGAAACTACCTTTATTTACAATATTACACTACACTATGCAGCAGACATTAGAGTTACCTTTGTCTGGAAATGAAAAATAGAACATAAAACTCCAAAAGTGCTTGTGCCAAGTGGCCCAACTTAAAAAAGAGTAGAGGTCCTAATCTATCCACCAGTTCTACAGTTTTTTTTTTGCCAAAACTGTTATTTTATTATAAGCTATTGCTGATAATGGAACTCTTTTGTAACTGTAACACTCCTTTAGTGATTTTAAAGCAAAAAAAAAAAACAAAAAAAACAATCCAAGCTATTTTTATATAAAGAAAAGTCTTTAATATTTATGTCCCATTTGCAAAAAAAAAGAAAAAATGCATAAAAACATCGGAAGACACTGCATATATACATCATGTTCGCTACCTTGCAGCTACCTTCTCCAGGAGATAAGCACAACTGCCTTTCTTTTTTAATTATCAAAAAAAAATTCCATGAAAAAAAAAACGCCATCATTTGTTTGTGTTAGTAAAACAAGGAAAGCCTTCAAATGTATACTTTTTTAAATTATACACTTACCATTTACAAATAAATACAAATCATCAAACATTTACAGACATGAGCACACACGAGAAAAAAAAAAAGAAAAGGAAAGGAAGACAAATCCACCACGGCGACAGTGTGAACTGTTGTGCGTGACGAATCAAGCACGTGGCAGGGTAGGCTGAACTTCAACTGAACTATTCCCAGTAGTGCAATTCAGAAGCTACAGCAGTAGCCTGACAGAACTGAGACTCAGATTGGATTAGTCTTGAATGATTTTGTGCAACAACAACAACAAAAAAACTGATGTGAACACAAAGGTCAGATGCATTTGCACTGAAAGGACAATATCAAAAGTGAACATTGACCCCTCCTCCCCTCCAAAAAAAAAAAGCATCAGCTCTGCAGAGATGTTAAATAAAAAGTAATCGTTTGGGTTACACATCTATTTTCCTTGCTAAATGAAGCAATAAAGTTCATCTTCTTGACATGAATATTTGAAATCTGTCACTTTTGTTTTGTGTAATCAAATCTTCACCCCATTACTGCTTTTGTCAGACTGGTGCAGAGATGTTTCCTAATGGGTTTATATTAAGCATGAACAGACTTATTATACTTCCTTCATCTCTTCTGCAATGACCTCAGAGCTGTAGAGCAGCGCTGCCTTGCTAATAAACACACAAAGAGGTATGACAGAAGATTTTTCTTTATCTTATTCACTCATTTATCTGGCTCTAATAGGAGTTTAACATTATTTGGTGATTAACTGCTCACTGGCTAACCTGTGTCCCACTAATACAGATGGTAATAGACTAAAAATAGCCTCTAGAACTATATATATAACAGCATAACATAATGCTTTAGCACTAGGATGTATTTTCTAAAGAAAAGTCTGATCCAACAGAAAAGGTCTGGAGTTTGCTATTTTAAGTGGAACCAAGTGAATTTATTCATATGAAAATATTTAAGTATTATTATTAATTCTAGGCTAAGATGATGGGAATTTGCATGATTTAAGGTCATATATAATTTTGAAGTGTGAGACAAGCCAAACCAACCTGTTTGGTTTCACAACTATCAAGTCCCTGCAGCGGTAGTGACTGAGTTTTGTTGCACGTAGCAACAAGCACCCTCTGCTCAAAAAGTGTCCTGCAACTATTGCTACCCCCGTGAACATTTTAATATTTTGTCACGTTGCAACTAGAAATTTCACTCTTTTTTAGAATAATTTTTAAGGATAAAGCAGCACAAATTACAACATCATTATGAGGTTAAAAGACCTTGATAAATAGCTTACAAAATAGTTGTTAGATGATTCTATGGAGGACTCTTCATAGGATTAAGTCTTGAACAGTACCTATATGTTAACTTTCAAGTCTTACCACGTATTCTTGTCTTTAGGTCTGGGCTTTGACTAGGCCCTTTTAGCAGAAGAAAGTGGTTTTATCTAAACCAATCTGCTGTAGCTCTGACTAAATGCTCAGACTTGCCCTTTCAGGGAATGAACTGCCACCTCACTCACAGCACTTTTGCAGCCTTTGAAATATCCTTCCAGCATTGCTCTATCTGGTTCCTTATGTGGTTCCTTTTCCTTCCAGAGGAAAAACATCCAGGAGGTGCTGCCAAACTGATTAGCAATTCACATTCTTAGCACCCAGATCGATACCAAAAGTGTGCAAAAACCTGTCAAAGCTGATTCAGGTTATTTTTGAATAACTGCAGAGATAGAGATGCGGAAGGTGACATGCAGCATGTCTGCACACATTCTTTTCATTTCATCCCACTTTCTTTTACTTATTTCCTGCAAGCAGGACCACCTACATGCAACCCTCGGTTATTTCCCAGTACTCTTCCATAAAGGCGACATCTTTGTAGATTTCTCACATCTGAGGGGGAAGCTCTGTTGCTCCTCCAGAGTTGTGAAACTATTAAAATCCTAAAGGAACATTTTAATGTTTGTGGTATGACAAAATCTTAAAAAGTGCAAGGGGTGTGAATACTATTTAAAGGCACAACAAATCACTGAAGACAGTATGAAAAAAAAAAACATTTTAATAAAGCTCCGAACTGTATGAAAAATGACTTAAACCCTATTAAGAATTTGACAAATGTAGGAAAACGTGTCATGATTATGCTGGTGAAAATTCTGAGTCATCCAGGTCATGTTTTTAATTTTCTTTTTTTGGAATGTCATGCTTATCTGAGACTAAATAGACCTTGTTTTATTTTTTAAAAGATGAGGCTTTAGTTTTTTCAATGGATTCAAAATGATGGAGGGAGCCGCCATCTTGAAAGTTTATTGTTTCCTCTGTTTTTATAATGTGTCTGACCCTTAAAGCTAATGTTTTGATGCTGAGTCCAGTTGTTTTCCGGCCAGTTTGGCTGTTTAACTGCGGAGCAAAGCTGTTCCAGGAGGGAGGCGCCGATCATTTTACTTCTATTGTCATTTCATGCCTTTATAGCTTTGGTCATTATAAACTTGAATTCTAACAAAGGGGCCAAATCCCACATCCCTTCCCATCGTGCCCCAAAATGTCCCCTTCCTGAACATGAAAAAGTAATCCAGGAAAAACCTTTTAAGTCTTTTTTTTTTTAATAATCTTTATACTAATTCCCAAGCAGATTTTTGTCAGGTGAACTAACTTTCCTTATTTAACAGGATCCTATTGGCTCAAATGATGATCAAAACTACAACAGGGTGAAATCTTAATAATGTACAATTAATTTAAGTAATGCTTATCGAGGCTGTTTTGATTTTTTAATCTTGCAACTGTACATATACTTAACTACAAAGGAGAATAAACGGTAATAATTGATCACATGGGTAGAAAATGAAAGCATGAAGGGACAAACTGTTGAAAGGGTGAATAAAAGAAAATACTTAAAAAATATATATTTTTAAAGAAATATCATTTTATTTTATTTTTTTCATGAAAACCCTACATTTTTAACTATATTTCAAACTGCATCTACATTTACTTTTTGGGAAACATCACAAAAAATATTCAAAAGTCAATTTTTTCAGTGCCTTTGAAGTGCATTCTCCTAATCCTGATGGTGAATTAATTTGTCAGTAGATGTGAGCTTTCTCCTGTGTACAAAGTTTAGAAAAATAAAATTTCCCCTGCAAAAGCTTGGTGCAACAACAATACAAAACTAAAGAAAGATGTGATTCTACACATCATCTAAACAACTATTATTTTTCTCCATGTCTCTAAATCCAAAAGTGCTTAAAATCCAAAATCTGTACCTTTTAAAAAGTAACATCTTCTGGTTGGAAAGTCAAATTTCTGATTGTCACAACACTGATGCCTGAACCTGAGACCTTTTCATAAAAAATAGAAACAATATGTGACGTCCTGGCAGTCACGGTAACCGTTGTCTGTAATGCTGGTACTAGTGAAACATCAGAGGAAAAGAATTTCATACACACTGATCTGTTTGTGGTTTTGCGTAATTGTGCGTGTGAAGAAGGGGGGTTGGGCAGACGGGTATCTGCCGATGTGTTCACGTGTTGCTAATGCACTCTCACTGCATGTAGATGTAGGGACTGGACTTATGGTGGCCTGTGCTCATCACACATGGCATAACGTTCCTGGAGCCGCCCATCATGGACTGGTTCATTTCATGGCCGTTCTCAGACCAAGGGGGGGAGTCCACTGGCTCCCGTTTGATTGAATGGATCAGGCCGTGACCTTTGAACTCATAATCGCCATGCTTGTTATAGTCCATGTGCATGTAGGCCTTTTGAGGGTAGAGGTTTGAATTCATGAGGTTGACCGATTGGTTGCTGCATAGAGAGTCTGAGTGGGAGAGTCTCTGGGGGCTGAACTGGTTGGAATCACTGTTCCCGACCAAGTCTTTGTCACATTTTAACAGACGGGTGCCATTGTTGACTGCATAGTTGGGGTAGTTGCCATTATTGTATGAGGGGCTGATTCCTGCTTTTCCTCGCTGACAAGGGGAGTACTGTGGGTCGTAGTAATCAGTTTCTGATTTAAGCTGCAAACCAGCGTTGGAGTCGTACACCCCGTTTCCGTAGCGGCGGTCCATGGCCATTTGGTTGCGACAGCCCCACGTTTGCCCGTATGCGTCGCATCCATTCTCAGAGTCTGAGTCATGCTCTATTTTAATAGGTGGCATTTCTGGCATCATGTGGCCTTCATAGCATTCCCCGAAGTCGTTCTCGCTCTTCACCAGGTCTACGCAGTAAGCATCGGGGTCCGATGATCCGTACAGCTTCGAGACAAACACATCTGCACCCCTGCCACTGTGGCAACTCGGAGAAAGGCAGTAGGGCTTACCGTACTGGCCAGTCCTGTTTAAACGGTTCGAGGGGATGTAGCCCACTCCCTGAGCAGCTCTGACGGCCCCCAAGTGCTGTCGCCTGTGCCAGCCTCCACCTAAGCCCGACCCGACACCTTTATGGACAGTCATAGAGGACTTGCAGAAATTGAGAGGCTCCTCTTGGTTGTAGAAGCCATCAGGGCTGAACTTAAGGTTGTCTTTGCAAAGAGGGTTCCAGGAGCCATGATGACTTCGTTGTGTAGAACCCGGGTGGGGACAAGAAAAGAGGAGAGGGTCGGTCATGTCACCCACTCCTCCACTGATGGAGTGCCTCCTTAGGTGATCCCCATGCTCACTGTAAAGGAAAAAGATAAGACACCCTTTATTTATTTTATTCTTACCTAATACCAGCTAAATGTAGATTACATAAAAAAACTACACCTTTATTTTCTTAAAGGAATAATGAACAATTAAGCAACTAATTAATGTCAATTATTAAAAGGGTAATGTAATAATTAGTGACATTATATAAGTAATTTAATCCATTAGGATTATTGCTCAAACATGAAATAATAAGTACAAACCATTCCATTAAAGGGAACGCCGTTTTTTTTTTTGTTTTTTTTTTACATTAGGCCCTTGATTTTATGTTATTACATCATGTTCTACCCACCCATATGAGTTTTGTGTCAGTTGGAGCTGTTCTGGAGATATTCCGTTAGATTATATCCAAGTAACGTCTTCCTATGGGCAACGACTTGAAGGCACAAACTAAACTATTTATAATTTATTCTTTATAGTACGCCATTCATAACATTTAGGCGAATCACTGTCGCCCAGACATCCGCGGATATATTTTTTTATATTCATATCTTTTAAAAATGAAGCGGCGCGTGTATGACGTCATCCGCGCGGCAGCTACCATTCCTTCATCCTGTCCACTAGTTTTACTCACATGCCTGGAAGATGTCTAGTGCTACTGCCACAGATGATCTCGTTCTCAAAATGGAATTGAACAATTCATATTAGCTCGCCGAATGAATAGAAGGGGTACAGCGTAGCCTCCTGTGGCCCAGGCAGCCTGTCTCAACTCCAGTCCGGCGAGCGGATGACGTCATACACACCCCGCTCCGTTTTTAAAAGATATAAATATAAATAATATAACCGCGGATGTCTGGGGGACAGTGATTCGCCTACATGGTATGAATGCAGGCCTACCATAAAGAATAAATTATCAGCAATTTACTTTGTGCCTTCAAGTCGTTGCCCATAGTAAGACGTTACTTGGATATAACCTAATGGAATATCTTCAGAACAGCTCCAAATGACGCAAAACTTATATGGGTGAGTAGAACATGATGTAACAACGTAAAATCAAGGGCCCAATGTAAAAAAAAAAAAGGCGTTCCCTTTTAACATGAATAAAGAATGACCTGAATCTAAACTTTCACTGAACCACACAGTGAGAAGAAGAGGGAAAGAACCGTCACTTCATGCTAGAAAGTGCAGGCTCTGCATATATGATATGGACATGACAGAGATGGCTCTGCTAAGCCTACTTCTATAATAAGAACATTTTGCATTTTTTCCTTGCTGTTGTCAAGAAGTCTTTAAACTAATAAAGGATATTTTGGTGCATTTGGTGCAGAGTATCCGACTGAAAAAAGGCAACATTATGGTTAATTCTGTTGTACATACAGTAGTTTTTCTCTGTTTTCACCTCACAATATGGATATGGATAGTTTTGGTAAAAATCCATCAGTATATTTTACTACTCTATCTCCTAGAGCACAGTTACGTATCCATCTGTCCATCCCTCTTTCCATAAAAATAGGAAAGATGAATAAAACATCTTAATTAGAAATGTCTGTTGATGTCTGAACTGTCATTGTATGGCGGTAGGATTTTGTAAAACAGTAAACCAAAATTTAGCTGACTTTCTTCATGTTCCTTTACACTAAAATGAGTTTGTCTATTTTTGCCAAAAAAGCTTTTGAAGCTTCTTTGAGAGCTAAATTGACATTAAAAAGCAATAAAAAATTACTTCTGTGTACGTGCTTGTTTGGAAGTTTGGAGGAGTCATTCTGACACTCCTGTGAATTAGGGGCTTTGTTGTTCCATATCTGGTTATCAAAGACCTATACATACATCATGCACTCAGGAAAGCCAGCGCTCATATGGCAGAGTTAGTCTCAGAACCGTCTATTTTAATCAACTCAGTGGGGCTGACAGATTGTTTGGCAAGTATTTCTCAAAAATATTACCGTTCTACCCATGCGGCTGTATGGGATTGCCCACATGTTTCTTTCATTTCTACAGAGAAATGACTCAAAAATAAATAAAATGGTTTGATTTACTGTAGTGGTCATGAGAATTATTCCATACGTGACTCATTTTTTCTGGGATGTGTCCCATCTGAAAACTAACAACAGAGTTCACATGCTGAAGCTGAGCATCTGTGGGTTTATTTAGGTGCATAACAAACATCCTGGTTTATAGCCACCACTCTCCTTTCAATCCACAACAATAGCGTAAAATATTATACGATTTCTCGATTTGTGAGACACATCTTTTAGAATATGTCGTACTGAGATTGTAAAAATCACTGCTTGTAGAAACCGCATCCATGCATGGTTTCCGGTGGTGTTTATACTTTAGTTACTGGCTGTAATGTTAGATACACTCTGTCCATCACCCTGCATTCTATAAGCTAACAAAATAAAAGCTTTTTGAAGAATTTGCTTTAATAATATGCAAACTAAAGTATAAAGAGGTGAGTAAGGCATTTGCTTTAAATTAGCTCTGTAGGTGAGTAAACTGCCTATTGTAGCTGAGGTATTTCATATACTTGAAGCCTACAATTCACTTGAAGCCAATTACTCAGAGACCAATCACTAGAATAAGGATTTAAGGAGGTTTAAAAAGTTTAAAAAGAACTGCCATAATGCTTAGGCACTTTGAAGCTCTTCTAATAAGGCATTAGGGAAAGTCTGGAGGAGGTATGGAGCAGAGAGTAGAGCATCGCTACCCTTATTCCACTTATATTCCATGTGAACACCCCTGCTAACAATCTAATAAACGTCCAGTCCATTTTCTAGACTGCTACAGCTTCAACTGATATAAATGCTACATGCTACATTTCAATGCACATTCTTTTCACATGGTCTGCTGCAAATTTTTCTATCTTTTCCTTTAAAAAGGCTGTTTTACATTTGATTGCTCATGTTTTTAATCTGAGGCCATTTTTATATATTTTTAAGGTCTCCTCTAAGGATGCATATTTTTTATTTTTTCTATATGTGCATTCCAAGACTGTGTCTAAATTTAATTGATTATGGCGACCTGCTGCTGTGCACTAGTGGTCAGCTAAAGGAAAATTAATGCAGGTTTCTTTGATTTTAAAAAACTAGTGTTTGCAAGATGTAGGCAGTATGTTAAGCTATTGGAGCAGATAACTCAACTAAATAATGACTGTTAGAGAATACTTATTGTAAAACTCACTGTTTTTCTCTATAAAGAGAGGAAAAGTTTTATAATAGATTTATTCATTACTGATCTATTTTTTAGTTTTTATTTTAAAATTAAATAAAAAAGCTGTTTTTAAAACTGTCATTGTTTTAGCAGCTGTAAAAATAACTGTTGGTTTATGCGTTAAATGAAGAACTATTAGAGGCTTATAAACAATTTTGTATTTTGTTCTTGCCCAGTAATGTAAAATTGGGAGTTAAGCATTTTTTCTACAGACACTAAACGGTTCGTCAAAAGACTTAAAACAGGATTTCATTTACTTTTAAATCCAGAGAGCCACTTGGAAAGCGTCACATTATCAAGCTGTTCCCATATGTTTGTTGATGTGCTTTTTGAGTTTCTTTTAATTTCCTCCCTCACAATAAATCACAAACACTTGTGTGAAATATCTGTGGTTAACAGCAGCCTTTCATGTGTTTTAAATTCAACTTGGCATGTCCAATTTAACAAATATGTTTGTGTTATTTGTTTTTTCACAAAAGCAGATCTAATTTTGGCACGCTTTAAATTTTGGTGTCTCCCTGGAGGAGGAGCCGACCTCACACTGGAAAATCCTGCTTTAAGCCAAGGTCTGTTTATTGCTTTTATGGGATAACAAGCCGCTTACATTCTGTACATTTAATTTCACAAAATAAAATAAGTACACCCTCGTGATAAGTGATTTAAACAACCCGGGTTTGCTGTCTGTGTCTGTATTCTATCACTATTGTTAATAATAAGTAATAATAATTCTGATGCTTTTACTTGTTGAATTATATAGTTGATGGTAAATAAGGCTATTAAACCCCAAAATCTGGAATAAAATCCAGATGGAAAGGAAAGATCGTTTTTGTGAAAGGAACCAGCTCTTTGGGTAAATGGTGCTGAAGTAGTAACCTTGTGTCACCAAAAAAAGTGTTTTTAATACTTCCCTGATTTATTTGTTTATTTCTTCAAATCAGACGGAGAGCTTGGAGTAAAGATGATGTATGTGTCAGGACCGCATAGAAAATGAATGCATGTTCCACAAACTTGCAGTTTATTTGAGTTTTGTGGAGAATTTGAGTGGTGAACAATTGTGACTTGGGATTAGATATGGTTTGAAATGTGTTTTTTTAAGTGCTGAATGTATATGTTAGTCTGGAGCCAAAGTCTGTGCAGTTTCCTTTATCTGTTCAAACGCTCATCCTTAAATATCACTCCACCTGTTCTGTGAAGGCCTTAAAGCTGAACTAAACAACACAAATAACACAGTGTCACATACTTAAGCTATAAAAGGATACACAACACTTTCGGCACTTACTGATTATTGTTCAGCCTTTCTTCTGTAAATGGACAATATTTAAGAATCAGCTAAAATTACAGCTAGGAGAACTTTACGTAAAGAAGCAACCAAGAGATCCGTGCTACCTGAAGATAATGCAGACATCCACAGCTCAGATGTGTTAGGAATCCAGTTTATGTGGGTTCTGTTTTTGTGTGTTTTCCCTCCACCACCAGGTGGCGCCTGGTTCTCGTTGGCCCTCTCACACACCTGCAGATGGTTGCCTCATTACCTGAGGACTCTTAAGCTGCTGACTGCCACTACCTCGACGCCAGAGTGTTTGCCAGTTTTGGGTAGTCTAGCCAAGCTGAGTTTTGCTGAGTCAAACTGAGATTTGTGTCAACCTGAGTCTTAACCTTGTTTTTTTTTGTGTTGCCTCTCGCCAGGAAGTCATCCTGCAAACTGGATGTTTTGGACCTTCTCCCCCTGGAAGGAGCGTCTGAGTTTCAAACTGAGCTGGGGATTCAAACTGGAGGTTTGGATGTACTTTTCCCCAAAGGATTGTTTGAGCTTCACACTGAGCAAGGGATTCATCTCCACAAGGAACCGTTCAAGTACCATAGGAATTCTGAGTGGCAGTCAGCTTCTCCAGTCCTCAACGAAACACCTCAACCTGGGTAAACCCTGTCCACCCTCCAACGAGCAAGTCAATTACTGGAACTACCCACACCGACTGGATTCAAAGAAAGACATATTTTCTGGAAACTTGAGTCCGGTTGCCTTTATTCCCTTTTGCAAATCGAAGCTCAATTTTCCCACTGAGCCTGAACTAGCCACAAGGAACTTCCCCTTCACTTTTCAGTCCTGGTTCGCCAGTGTTAAGAGCAGCACTGGACCCATCTCTACCAGTTCTCAATAACCCTGTTAAACCTTCCCCTGGTCTCTCTGTTTGGTTGTCTGCATGTGGGTCAGATCTTTGAATAAAATCATGACAAGATGGAGTGTTTCTGGCTGTCCACACCTCTAAGCCATTGTTAACACAAAGTTATGTGAAGCTCTGCCTGATGATAAGGAAAATTCTTAAGTGAACTCATCATGCCGTGGGGATGCTTTTCTTTTAGGGGGAACAGGAAGTTGTTTAAAGTTGAACGAAAGATGCATATAGCTAAATAATCCTGGGAAAAAAACTGTTAGAGGTTGCAGAAGAGACTGTGGCAGAAGACCCCCTTGCTGCAGGATGACCCCTAACATCCAGCCGGAACTACAATGGGATGGTTTCCTTCAAACTATAATCATGTGTTTTAGCTTCAAAATTAATGCTAAAATATGCCTTTTATCGAACATGAATGCATTTAAGCTTTTTTTTGGCAAACAATTGCTGTTAGTTTTAAGACATACAGAGAAATAATGCAAATGACTTGCAGCTGTAAATACAGAGAAGCGGTTCTATAAAGTATTGAATCCAGAAGGCAAAATCCATACATTTATTACTGTTTTCAGATTTTTGTTTGTAAAATGTTTTTTGTTTATTTATTCATTGTACTTCGCAGTAGTTTACATATAGAATACTTTTAAAAGAAAGTGCATATGTTCGGTATATTTGCTTTTCAAACATTAGGCAATCTAAGATGTATTTGTACAATTAGATCTTCTTATTATTTAAAATAAAAAAGTGACAGAGTGGTTCTTTTCTTACCCATGCTCAGTTGGAGAGATAATCCCCCCGCTTTTGTTCTTTCCCCGCATTAAAATATTTTTCACTTTCATCTCCGTGATGGAGGGCAGCAGGAGGGGGACGGCTATGCAGAAAAGACCCAGCTGAGCAGGCATCAGTGTCCCGGAGGGTGATTTCTTCTTCTGCCCATGGAGGAACTTTAACCGACCCTGAAACTGCATGGTCTGAAATTGGAGCAGAAAAAAATATATGTATTTAATCTAAACAGAAATTAGTACACCTATGTGCCTTTTTACCATTTTCAAATGTATCCCAGAGTTAGCTTTTACCTAATCAATTGTAGACCAATTTGTGTGATCCAGATTCACTGTATTAGACCTAAAGTAAAGCAAGGTATTGGTATTTTTATGCTCTTGTATATTTGTGGATGAGAAATATTCAGGACGTTAAGAGTGCAGTTATGGGTATCTTTTATCAGCCACAGTAACATCCTTCAAAATAAGAGAAGATGATCAACTTAACTAGACTCCAATAAAGCGGAAGCACGGTTCTGCAACCTGACACCCGACTTTGGCTAAAAACATATTAAGAACCAGCTAATCTTTTAAAATAATAAATGTACTTTCTATGCTGCTTGGGATTCTCTCCACTGACTAATTGCATTGAATTTCCAAAATAAATCGACTCTGAAAATAACAGAAATATATTCTTTTTGCAAGTATATCTATAACCTATAATTTGAAATGGTGCACTGAATATTTAAAAAGAGGAAAAATCTTTTTTTTCTCTCTTAAAAAATGTCACACAATGTTTGAATATAAAAATGGCCCTTTGGAGCTAGACTCTCGCTTTCAGAGCAATAAGAGTTACAGAGGCTCAAACTGTACTTACAGCTCTCTATGGCTGGTCTTTAAAAGGTTTTAATTTCAGCCAAATTCAATTCAATTCAGTTTATTTATATAGTGCCAATTCACAACTCATGTCATCTTAAGGTACTTTACAGTTCAACCAGATCATACAGTCAAATTGATTCAAAGTTTTCTATCTAAGGAAAACCAGTTGATTGCATCGACTCATTGACTTAAA